AGGTGCCTTCGTGCTAAAACGCTGCCTGCAAAGTCAGCTGCCTCATACGTCAGCGAGACAGCAAGTCAGCTGCATAAGTTTTCGGATGCAGCCATAGTTTCAAGGGCTAACCTTATTTCCTTAGCTCTTGCTCATTTGGGTGTTCTATCACCTTTACCTGAGTCTATCGCCCCCCTGGTGACTAGGGTTGTAAAGGGGTGGAACATTTCTGGAAACTTTCCAAAAATCCCTGGAATATTCCATAGAATCCTGGAAAGTTTCCAAAATTTCTGGAATATTTCCGAAATTTACTGGAAATTTTCCACCTTTTTGCAACCCTACAGGTGACTAGGAAGAAAATTACACCATAACTGCAATCACATTGAAGGAACAATGAAAAACACGCTGGAACTGTTACAAAGTCCAATTTTGATGTCAAATGGCAGAATATAACCCATAAAATACAATTATAATAATAAAAAAAAAAATCATTACTTGAAATAAATAAACTGAAATAAAAAATAAAATACATATATAAACTATGTATTTTAAAGTACTAAAATTATACAAAAACTAACAAACAAAGATTTATAAAAACAACATAGACTAGTAAAATAAAACATGCAACAAAATTACTAAAACATTAACTAAAACTAAAATCTCAAAACCTAAATTCAAAATGTAAAAAAGCTAATAAATAAAAATGAATTAAAAACTATATATATCAATAAAATATCAAACTAAAATAAAGTAATATCAGTACAAAATAAAGTAATATTTGAATTTAAAATAAAGATAAAAATATTAAAGAGAGCTAATAATATATACTAAAACAGCAGTGGCTCTGGCTCAGAGCAAATAGATGGAATGAAGCCCATAAAAGTCTAATTTTCATAACATATGGCAGAATATAACCCATACAATTCAATAATAATAATAATAATAATAATAACAACCATTTTTGTTAGTTGAAATAAAATAAACTTAAAAAAAATTTAAAAATCATTTTAAAAAATCTAATACATATATAAAATACAAATATTTCTCATTTTCATTTAGATTAGTTTAGCTTGAAGTACAAAAACTAATGGAAATTAGTTTTATGCTGCCACATAAACTAAAAAATTTATAAAATATAGTAGTCGACATTTGAAGTGGATCAAAACCTTTCATCAAAGTTGTCCTAAAATCTAAAACCAAAATGTGTTCTTGTCTTAGGAAAACTCTGATTAACGTTTTTTGATCCACTTCAAATGTTGACGACTGTATACATATAGATTCATAAAATGACAAAAACTAACTAAATAACTAAAACATAAAATAAAATTCAAATAATTAACAAAAGCTTATAGTATACTACAAAAATAAGAGTGGCTCAGAGCAAACGGACGGAATAAACCCCATAAAAGTCCAATTTTGATAACATATGATCTGTACATGCAACTGCAGGAGTTATTTTAAGTGCACTAAATAAAAAGCACAGCAGAATCAAAGTCTTGTGTAAGCCAACGTCATGTTTCTGTGGGAGGTGAAGACTAATCTTGCCTCGCGCAAGAAGAACACTTGGGATTTCTGTGGCAAACCACTTGAAAACATGTTTCTCGATACGGTCTCGGGACGGACCGAAATTTGAGGTTTGACTCAGACGTTGCATAAGCGCTCTATATTAGTGTGATTCATGCTGGCTGGTAATAATTTCCCACCTGGTGGAAGTCACAACATTCAAGTCACAGGTCTGTTTAAGCAGAACCAACGTCTCATCCGCCGAGCGAAGGGGAGCATTTACCGTCCTCTCCACAGAGATCTGTAATTGATTGTGTTATTTTAGCTCTTGCGTGGGTCTGCCCACATTCTAACTGCACATCTAAGTTGGGCGGCGCGGCGTGTCTTCGCTAATGTAAGGCAGGCAAGGAAGACAGGAATCTAAAGCATGAAAGTTGCCATAGCAACAGGCCAACATTTCCCGTTTTATTTGCAGAGAAAAGCTTTTAAACGTCAACAATTTCAGCATAAGCTCATGTAAAGCTGCACGGCATTATTGTGCTGACGGCAGTCAGACTCCTCCAGAAAACTCACACCTACTTTTAGTGATTACAGCTTCTAAAAGAGCACGGATATATCCAAAAGATGGGATTTCCACCCCCCCCTTTTAAACCTGAAAATGTAAAACCAAGAAGCGATATTTCAGATTCTGGGTTATATCATTAAATTTGAGGCACAGACACACCTTTATAACATCTCAAATCATTCTGCAGAACATCATCATCTGGTTTTGTTCAAATACATTCTAAAACCCACGTTAATGATGTTGATTATTCTTATTATGTTGTGTTTAAATGGGATAGGAAATGCTAGATAAATTGTATCAGACTTAAATTTGTGATAAAATATGTTTTAAATGAGAAAAATGCAATCAGACTTAGTTTACAAACTTGAATTTGTAACACTAATATAACAAATCAGCTTTTTTTGGACAGAATTTATAGCAGAGGTTTCTAAAATGAATGTATTTAGCTTTAGAGCACTGTAATAGACAAAAGTACTGATGCTACCAACATCAACAAATGTTTTACCTTAGATCATTTGAATAAAAAAAGTGTTTAAATTAGAAAAAAAAGCTAGAAAAATTCTAGAAATGCTAGAAAAATGCTATCAGACTTATTAAATGTACAACATAACTAACCAGCTGTTTTGTAATGAAAACTGTTTTAAATGGATTAAATTAGAACAAATGTTGAAAATGATATCAGACTTCAATGTATTACCTAGAGTTACACTAACATAATAAACCAGCTTTTTTGGACAGAATGTATAGCATATGCTGCTTTAGAGCATTACATAATAGACAAAAAGCACTGATGTTACCAAATGTTTTACTCTGGATAATTTGCATAAAATTAGAGTTACACTGACATATTAAACCAGTTTTTCTGGACAGAATTTAGAGCAGCAGGTTCTAAAATGAACATAGCCTGTGTGATTAAAGCTAAATATAAGTACTGACCAAAGTACTGATGTTACCAACATCAACAAATGTTGTACTTTAGATCATTTACAGAACAAGAATCTCTTAATAGTTGAATTACAGCTGATTTTTGATCAAGATCTGTGCGAACTAAAAGCAAAAGTCTAAGAATTGGTCATTAAGACCCATATTGTTCAACCACTAAATATTATTATTCATATTATAATATTATAATTAATATATGTGTTAATATTATACACAATATTAGGGGGAATATGCTAAATATTCAATGAAATGCTTCACTTTTTAAAATCTCTGGAAGCTTTTCTGGACAGAATTTATAGCAGCAGGTTCTAAAATGAATGTAACCTTTATGATTAAAATGACCAAGAATGGCTTTTACATTTAGCGTTAAAGCATTAAAGGTACCTGATTTACAACACCACATCAAAATCTCTTAATATTTAATGTGGCAAAGAGAACACGCCAAATTAATTCTCAAATGCGTGTTAATATTTCTTGTTCTGCTGATAATTTGCAATGAAACAATTGTTTAAATTAGGAAAAAAATGCTAGAAAAATGGTCTCAGACTTAAATGCATTACCTAGATTTACACTAATGAGCTTATAAACCAGTTTTTTGTCATATGTCATTATAAAAATAAATGCTGAAAATGATATCAGATTTAATTAACTAACATAATATACCAGCTTTTTTGGACAGAATTTATAGCAGACATTTTTCAAATGAATGTATGGCTTTAATATTTTAAATTAATAGACTAAATTAGTGATGTGGAAAACATAACCACATCAGAACCTAGTTGATTTTTGATTAATGGTGCAACCAGATATTTAAGATCAGCATGAACTACAAGCTAAAGTCCATTAAAACTCATATTGGTCAACTACTAAATGTACTATTACACTGTAAAAATGATAGTTGTAAATAAAAACAAAGATTATTGGAGTACATTTTACAAGGAAATACACTCTTAAAAATAAAGGTGCTTCACGATGCCATAGAAGAACCTTTTTGTCTAAATGGTTCCATAAAGAACCTTCAACATCTGAAGAACCTTTCTGTTTCACGAAAGCTTCTTTGTGGCGAAAGAAGGCTCTTCAGATTATAAAAAAATAAGAAAGTGATGGTTTTTTAAAGTTCTTCGTGGAACCAAAAATGGTTCTTCTATGGCATCGCTGTGAAGAACCTTTTAAAGCACCTTTATATTTAAGAGTGTATTTCAGTCAGTCTATTGTCAAAATTTTACATTTACTTCAATATTTTACTTGCAGTTTTTTTTTTAATTCATGGTAAAACATACGAGCAATTTCTAAAAGAAAACTCTTTCTACATCAACTTTCATTTTCAGTGTAGGGAGAACGTATACTAAATATTCAACAAAACCCCTCATTTCTCAACATCTGGTACAAATTAAAGCATCTGCGATAACAGAAACAAATGAAATCATGTATATTGTTTAAAATACAGGCAATGTATTTGATCAAGTCTTTAAATTCCTTCATCTAGAGCTGCAGGGAGTTTTTCCTCGCAGAAAACTCTCTCATCCAACAGGTGTGAGATCCTCAGCACTCAATCAATGCTCATGCAGCACTCGCTATAAAATGCGACATATTCTCTAGCACACTGCACGCTTGTTTTAAAGGCTTCATATTACAGACACAGAGTGAGCAATCACATACGAGCGTGTTGCATTAGTGCAGTCAGGTTTCCAGTGATACATTACTGCACACAAAGTAACCTGATGTCATTCTCGAGGCTCCGCAGAGACTCTGACACTCGCTCCAGATGGAGTCTGTGCTGATGGACTTGAGAAGTCAAAGCCCGTAACATCGATAGAGATCAATGGGGAGCTGGCTGAGAGGCTCTGCGGCGTTTGTTGCGTTCATGCTGGGCTTGTAAACAATGCAACATCCGCACGAGCGATCAAACAAACCGCATTCACCACACAAGCATCACATGCATTCATTCTCTGACTTGAAGACGTCAAACACACACACACACACACACACACACAGGCTGGTGGTGACTTACCTCATCCCATTTCATAAATCTACTGCCTCGCTTCAGACTGTCGGACACGCACACCGGCTTGAGTTGAAGCGCATGAACGCCAGGTTGAGCTCCAGCCATTCAAGCTTCAACATTTACACCCAAAGCAGGGGGGGGGGGATCAAGAGTCTCTCTCTTTCTTCTCCGGGAAGAAGCCCAAGCGGAGCGCGCTGGATGACTGCCGAACAGTTGTGGTGAATGGAAACGCTTTACGCGCTCGGATGGTCATTTAGAAGCGTTCAATTCATGCTGCTTGACTGGACTGAACGCCGCAGATTTGTGGTTGAGAACGGAAGGAGTGATTGAAGACGCGGAGCAAATGAGCAGCGGAGAGAAAGAGCGATCATAAATGATGGAGAGAGCGAGCGAGCGCGAGAGAGAGAGAGAGAGAGAGAGAGAGAGAGAGAGTCCTCCGCACGTTGACTATATATATACACACACACACACATACATATATACTGTATGTATGTATGTATATATATATATAATCTGTGATAAGTATAACGACCCAAAGACAAAAGAACTGATGAAAATGAGCTGTTATAGGAGCAATAACCATGTGGGCAGCGCTGTGTCATATACCATAGCTGTGCACAAGGTGTTTGTAGATCTTAATATCCTACTATAATGTAGGTTAATTAAAATATTTTTTTTAAATAAGTTTAAATGCACAATAATACAGTATGCTGCATGAGGAAATGAAAAGAATGTATATTTTATAAATACATATATAAAGAAAGAAAAGAGCCCATTTTGATTGCCATTAAGATTTTTTTTTTGCATTGTGACATTTGTTTCATGACTAAAATGTGGGGGGGAAGTAATTTAAATTGCAAATAAATTAATATATAAATCAAACTTTAAATGCACAATAATATTATGCAACAGGACATGAAAAATATACATTTTATAAATAAAGAAAAAAGGCTATTTTGAAGCCTATTTTTACTAACATTATTATTATTTATTTATTTATTGCATTTTGACAATTCTTCATGACAAGTGCCCTTTCTCTTTTAGTAACCTATTGTAATGTGACAAAAATGTGGAAAAAAATGTATTTCAATTGCACATAACTCAAATTACAATTTAAAGTTTAAATGCAAAATAATATTATGCTACAGAAGGAAATGAATATAATGTGTACTTTATAAATACATACATAAAGAATGAGAAAAGGCCAGATTTAAAGCCTATTACTATTAAGCTTTTTTTTGTTTGTTTTTTGCCATTGTGCTTTAAAAAAAAAAAAAAAAAAAAAAAAAAAAATATATATATATATATATCATAGTATATATATATATATATATATATATTTTTTTTTTTTTTCTTCTGGAAAAAAAATGACTTGTGCACTGACAATATCTTTTTCATTACTGTGAATGAAATTTAGAGCAACGACAAATATTATTTGTTATTGATTATATACATAATTAATTTTTTAATGTGATCACAATGCAGCTCAAATCCAAAATAGAATGCATGCTTGAAGGACAAACAGGCATCAAAACATTCAAATCTACAGAGGGAAGGCTAAAGCTGTGTAACTGGCACTGAATGAACTGGACAAAATACATAATCTGCTTCCAGTATTGACCAGTTCAGGCGGAGGGTGATAATTAAAACACTCATGCACTAATATTGACTGACCAAGACAGCGCTGGCTCGTCTCCTGTGGGGGTCTTTCTTTCCTCTTCCACATCTGGGAATCTAAATCCTATACAGTTCAGCCCTGAATGCAATCATGCATCTCATATATTAACTTCTCCTCATCTTTCATCTCTTACAAACTAATCTATAAACTTATTTATCTCAAGCAAAACAATAGGGCATGCAGGATTTCAATTTCTAGAAAACAAAATGTAATTTATGTTCAATTAATGAATCTTTCAATCACAGACAAGTGATAATTAGGCCTACTATGCTAATATTGGCAGATAACAATATGATCAATATTTCTATTAATATATGCTACATTCATGCGTCTTTTTCAGTTCCACTTCTGGGAAGCCTACGAGAAAGAAAAACAGCAATTATTATTTTCATCTTTTTTATTATTATTATTATTATTATTATTATTATGTGCTGCAGTCACCTTGCAAGTACATAAAGATGAATGTGTCTGTTATATATTGATCTAAGCATCAGTCTGATCAGGTGTGATTTAACAGAACTGCAGCAAAAATATAAAACTGATCTTTGATTAGGAAAAAACCTAATCTGAGCATTTTTTCTTATATATTATTTATGAAGCAGGCAGGTTTTTATGAGTAATGCTCTGATGTGTTATGTAAGGCTGCCCCTGAACAGAGCTCGCATATACGGGAAATAACATAACTTCATAAAATCCACCTTTAATTCACAGTGTGTGGGACAGATTAGATAACACACCCAAAATAGAAGAAATTCTTCGGGAGGTTTTTGAAAATAGGTTTTTTATTGACACATAATCAGCAATATATTTTATAAAATAAAAACATACAATTGTAATAATATGTAATATCATAATTTATATATATATATATATATATATATATATATATACATACATATACATATATATATATACACACACACACACACTGACAAACACATACACACTTAAATATAGATTTTAAAAATATTAAAAGCTATATTAGTTATATAAATATATTGTATTTCTATATTTATAATAAAAAATAAACAAAATGTATATATATATATATATATATATATATTATATTAATAATGTGTCTGTATATTAGTGCTGACAAACGATTAATCGCGATTAATCATATCCAAAAAAGTACATACATAATATACGTGTGTGTATTTGATATGTGTATATAAAGACAAACACAGGCCTACAGCATATACTTTGAAAATATGTAAATGTATATATTTATATTCATATAAATTATATCATATATAAATATATTTAACATATAACTTAACATTTTTCTGAAATATATACATGCATGTGTGTATTTATATATACATAATAAATATACACAGTACACACATATATTAAATGTAAACAACTTATTTTGGATACGATTAATCACGATTAATCGTTTGACAACACTTATATAGGCCTATATAACAAAAATACATACACAATGTTCAGTATAATTTGTTTTATATATTGGCAAAATTATTTTTTTATATAAATAAATATTTTATATATAATATGATTTAAATACATGAAAAATATATTGAAGATTACGGTACTAGTAGAGTGTGTATACAGGCTGCAGAGGTGCTTCCTGCACATCTGTCGAGAGGAGCTCAAAGCGCCGCCGCTGCTGCTGTATTTCCTGCTCGTGTTGAATCATGTGCTCCAGCAGCAGCAGCAGCAGCAGCAGCAGCAATATGGCGGGACTGAGACGCGCTGACATGCAGAGATATGACAGAAGCTCCTGCTGGATGTGTGCGGTGTTCCTGACGCTCGCGGCTCGACTGATCGCTCAGACGCACGCTAGTGATGTGCTGACGGTGACCGACGCCAACTGGACGCTCATCCTGCAGGGCGAGTGGATGATCAAATTGTAAGTGCAGTATGTGTGGTGTGATCTGATCTCATCTGATCACGAGCTGCAGGATTCATGTGTCAGTGATCAGATTAATAGCGCTGCGATTCCATGACGCTTTGATCTGCCGCGCGCTGCAACAGTGTTACAATGTATCGAAATAATAACAATAACAATGTCTGCTTCGCAGTGGCGTGTGTGTTGTTATAACCGGAAGTGATCATAAATCTCTTTTTTGCCGCAATAATATATATATATATATATATATATATATATATAAATCGTTTCAAATCTTCATGTTATGCATTAAGCATCTATATGCACAAATATTGTGGATGTTATTGTGTAAATAATGGCCTACAGAGGACATGTTCACATCATCAGGGTTAAACCCACCTTTAGGTTCACCATGCAGCGAGAGGATTCATGTGTCAATGATCAGATTAATAGCGCTGCGATTCCATGACGCTTTGATCTGCCGCGCGCTGCAACAGTGTTACAATGTATCGAAATAATAACAATAACAATGTCTGCTTTGCAGTGACGTGTGTGTTGTTATAACCGGAAGTGATCATATATCTCTTTTTTGCCGCAATAATATATATATATATATATATATAAATGTATGCAAATCGTTTCAAATCTTCATGTTATGCATTAAGCATCTATATGCACAAATATTGTGGATGTTATTGTGTAAATAATGGCCTACAGAGGACATGTTCACATCATCAGGGTTAAACCCACCTTTAGGTTCACCATGCAGCGAGTTAAATATGTTTTATGCATGCATGCATGTAATTGAATCGATCGGTTTCATGTGTTTTATCAGTTATGCTCCGTGGTGTCCGGCCTGCCAGCATTTACAAACAGACTGGGAGAGTCTTGGAAGACAAAGTGAAAGTCTGGGTATATCAGTGGGCAGAGTCGACGTTACACAACAACCAGGTTTGACCATTGCTTCTTACTGTATATCATACAGTTTTGAAATTCAAATTCAAATCATTTCAAGTTTTAAGGATCTATCCATCTATCTATTTATGTGTGTGTGTGTGTATATATATATACATATATATATATATATATACACACACACAATAAATAATACATTTTAATATAAAATGCATATTTTTGTCATTTTTATTTATATATATATATATATACACACACACACACACACACATACATACATGCATATATACAGGAAATACAATTAGTAATAATAAGAATACATTTTAATGATTTTTTAATTATTATTTGTGTGTGTATATATATATTAATATATGTATAGGAAATACAATAAACTGTAGTAGTACTAATAGTAATAATATCAATACATTTTAATAATATATATATGCAAGTATTATTCTTATTTATTTATACAACAAAATACATCACAATAGTTACTGGTTTATATATTGTATTTTAAATAACAATATGGTAATACGTATTTTTTGTCAAAGCAAGTGAATGAAGTGCAGTGCAAAAACCTCTTCACATTATGCAACAGCGGAGTTAAAACAAAAGACTTCAACAGTGACACTAATATTATAAAACAGGATGTGGCACATTCAAAGCCGTTGCAAATAATTGTGTGCGTACACTCTTAAAAATAAAGGTGCTTCACAAGGTTCTTCAAGCGATGCCATAGAAGAACCATTTTTGGTTCCACAAAGAAGCATTCAGTCAAAGGTTCTTTAAAGAAGCATCTCTTTCTTACCTTTTTATAATCTGAAGAACCTTCTTTCGCCACAAAGAAGCTTTTGTGAAACAGAAAGGTTCTTCAGATGTTAAAGGTTCTTTATGGAACTATTTAGACACAAAGGTTCTTCTATGGCATCGTGAAGCACCTTTATTTTTAAGAGTGTATGATCCTCTCATCAGCATGAACGCCTTGTCTGCGTCCGGTCTGATCAACAGCAGTGTGTCTGGCATTTATATCAAACACTGCTGGATTGTTTGCACACAGAGCTCTTTAAGTTTAGTCATGTGGCTCGAATGAACTACTGTGGGACTTTAAAAGGAATTAGACTTTTCACACGTCCTCCTGCAGTTATTATCAGCTGTATTTGATGTGTGCCATTGAGTGACATCACAAGCAGATGAAAGCCTTTATTATTAATACTATTATATCCAGACCCGTTTAGATGATTCCCTTTGAACGCTAATTGTATTTTAAATGCAAGCAAAGATTGCATTTAAGCGGCTAATGACGCAGAGTGTGTTGTCCTGTGCTTCCACCTGCAGCGGGGCTTGAATGGCGTCTCTCTCGTGTGTTTCTGTGGAAATCTCAGCTGGCGGGGAGAAAACGCCCATTACTGTCAGAAAGCTGTCAGGCTTTACTCTTATTACAGCGCTGCTATAGACCGCTCACTGCCTGCCCATGCCGAAGGGATTTATTTGGCCGGTATAGGATGTGCTCGCTCTTCTATCTGTATTTCTGCATCAATATATCCATCCTCTCTTCTTTTGTTCTACAGGTCTGAGTGGGTATATGCAAGTATTATTCTTATTTATACAACAAAATACATCACAATAGTTACTGGTTTATATATTGTATTTTAAATAATATGGTAATACGTATTTTTTGTCAAAGCAAGTGAATGAAGTGCAGTGCAAAAACCTCTTCACATTATGCAACAGCGGAGTTAAAACAAAAGACTTCAACAGTGACACTAATATTATAAAACAGGATGTGGCACATTCAAAGCCTTTGCAAATAATTGTGTGCGTACACTCTTAAAAATAAAGGTGCTTCACAAGGTTCTTCAAGCGATGCCATAGAAGAACCATTTTTGGTTCCACAAAGAAGCATTCAGTCAAAGGTTCTTTAAAGAAGCATCTCTTTCTTACCTTTTTATAATCTGAAGAACCTTCTTTCGCCACAAAGAAGCTTTTGTGAAACAGAAAGGTTCTTCAGATGTTGAAGGTTCTTTATTTAGACACAAAGGTTCTTCTATGGCATCGTGAAGCACCTTTATTTTTAAGAGTGTATGATCCTCTCATCAGCATGAACGCCTTGTCTGCGTCCGGTCTGATCAACAGCAGTGTGTCTGGCATTTATATCAAACACTGCTGGATTGTTTGCACACAGAGCTCTTTAAGTTTAGTCATGTGGCTCGAATGAACTACTGTGGGACTTTAAAAGGAATTAGACTTTTCACACGTCCTCCTGCAGTTATTATCAGCTGTATTTGATGTGTGCCATTGAGTGACATCACAAGCAGATGAAAGCCTTTATTATTAATACTATTATATCCAGACCCGTTTAGATGATTCCCTTTGAACGCTAATTGTATTTTAAATGCAAGCAAAGATTGCATTTAAGCGGCTAATGACGCAGAGTGTGTTGTCCTGTGCTTCCACCTGCAGCGGGGCTTGAATGGCGTCTCTCTCGTGTGTTTCTGTGGAAATCTCAGCTGGCGGGGAGAAAACGCCCATTACTGTCAGAAAGCTGTCAGGCTTTACTCTTATTACAGCGCTGCTATAGACCGCTCACTGCCTGCCCATGCCGAAGGGATTTATTTGGCCGGTATAGGATGTGCTCGCTCTTCTATCTGTATTTCTGCATCAATATATCCATCCTCTCTTCTTTTGTTCTACAGGTCTGAGTGGGAGGTTTCTGGTTACAACACTGCCGACTATATTTCAGTAAGTCCTCAGATGGCTGAATATACAGTATATTCCCTCAGGTGTTATGACAAAACTGGCTTTCAAAACGTTCTTTTAGGTTCTGTTTTTTGATTAAAAATAGCATGTATCAATTTCAAGTATAATATTGAACAACTCATCTCATCCACAGCGCTAAAGATGGAAATTTCCGCAAATATGTTTCATCACGGACTATTGAGGATATCCAGGCGTATGTTGAGCAGAATAAGTGGGCGATGGTTGAGCCGGTGCCAGGATGGAAGTCGCCATCCTCTCTTCTGTAAATACAACCTTTTCTGTCTGGAAAAAAAGAAGGGCTGATGTGTTTGCTTACTGTATAAAATTAAGTTGTTCGAATTGAATACATTTTGTATATAACTCCTTGCTTAAAACCATTTTATTCTTTTACAGAATGTCAGGAATGGCTAATCTGTTTCGTCTTTCCGTGTGTATCAGAGTAAGAAATATTTTGCAGTTTGATCTGTGGTATTGTCTTTAAAAAAGCCAAAAATTAAAATTTGCTAAAGATTTGATGTATAAAAGTAACAGATTTGGAGAAATGTAGCACTGCATCACTTGCTCAGCAATGGATCCTCTGCAGTGAATGGGGGCCGGCAGAATGAGAGTCCAAACAGCTGATAAAAACATCACAATAATCCACAGCACTCCAGTCCATCAGTTAATGTCTTGAGAAGACAAAAGCTGAAACAAATCCATCATTAAGAAGTTTTGATCTTCAAACCGTTGCTAAAATAAGAGTCCATAATCCATAATAACGCTTCCTCCAGTGAAAAAGTGTTCTGGTGTGAATCAGGAGAGAAATCTGCACAGATCAAGCACCGTTTACAAGCCAACTGAGCTCGATTTTGATGCGAGACAACAGAACTTTATCATTGGAAGAAGTGTTATTATGGATTATGGACTCTTATTTTAGCAACGGTTTGAAGATCAAAACTTCTTAATGATGGATTTGTTTCAGCTTTTGTCTTCTCAAGACATTAACTGATGGACTGGAGTGGTGTGGATTATTGTGATGTTTTTATCAGCTGTTTGAACTCATTCTGACGGCAACCATTCACTGCAGAGGATCCATTACATCCAAGTGATTTAATGCTACATTTATCCAAATCTGATGAAGAAAAACTTGTCTACATCTTGGATGGCCTGAGAGTGAGTACATTTTCAGCAAAATTTCATTTTCGGGTGAAACCTGTCAAGTCTGAATTTGATCTGGTCATTTTGTATTAAATATATTCCTATTTTGTCCATTCAACACAGCAAATCCACACGTACCTGACGAATACGCTCGGTATCCCTTCCTGGGGCTCTTATGTGATTTTTGCCATCATTACGCTCTTTATGGGACTGATGCTCGGCCTGGTGAGTTTAAAAACATCATTTTCACAGTTTAGATGGGTTAATGTATTATTCATGCTTCAAGCCTAAAGTGAAATGCTTTACTCTTTGCATGAAAGTACCTCATGCATAAATATTCCTGCGGACGGAGCATCGTTGCTACAAATCTAAAAAGACCATTTACCAAAGGGAACCAACCAAGTGCACTTGACTTCATCTGATGCGAGAGCTCTATGAAGCAGATCGCACATACTGTACAGATACATGATGACTTGCACCAGAAGGAATTATATAATACATGTTGAAAAAGAAGTTCCTACATTATACAACGGTGAGTTGTGTAACACTGCTCGATTCTGCGGCTCTTTTGAGGATACAGTGGGTGGTTCTCGCATGTAGTGGATCAAACGTTCAGAAGTGAACTTCAGCTGCTGGGTTCAGTCTAATGATAAATCTCTCTCTATTAGATGCTGGTTTTGATCGCTGACTGCATTTGGCCGTCCAGACCAAAGCACAGAGAAAACAAAACAGGTGAGATTAGAAACACGCGTATTATTTACTCTGCACTAATTATGCGTTTAAGTTGTTTATGGTTTTTAATATCACATTGTAGCATAATGCTGTTTGAAATGTTTATTATTGCATATCGCACACTATTTTTACAATAAGTTCCCATTAGTTAGTGTATTTATTGACATTAAC